TTCTTGTAACACATTAGAAACATGACAAAAAGTATTAATTTCGGCGGACAAGTCTTCTCTGACACACAACAGGCGTCAGCCCTCATTTATAGGCAGTACCTAGTCTGAACCCATTTTATGTATAAATAGAGTGACAATCCTACAGCACAGTTTGTTTAAGCTTTAACTAAGGGCCATTTCACACCACACAATTGCAATGGCCCAATTCCACTTTTACTGCCACAGCAATATCCTATTTGATCTCAGTTTTTCAGTATAAGAAAGGGTATTTAAAACTCTCACCCAAGAGCTCTAGCATCTTACCAAACTACAAATACCATATTCCAATTTGAGTCAGCTCTGAAAGCTAAAAAAGAATTGTGGAGCTTGTTTTCCAAAGGTACCAAATCCATCTGAACAAAAAGTGCTGAGGATATGCATCCTTTTGCTGTAAAATGCAATTTTTCAAGTTCTGTACCAAATGGTTTGATACATTTTGATGTGTACACAATATTCTACTCTTGGCCAAAAATGTGATGCCACCTATAACTTGTCTTTCTTTCTTTTTTTGATTCAGTACCTTTTCGAAACAAACTCCACAATTATAGTGCTACAAGTCTGTAGTGTGCAAGGGATCCATCTCTCATTATTAAAGCTGCAAGAACTATATTTACGGGAAATGCCAAATAAACAAAATCACTAAACTATAAAGACTTTCTGTATATATTTCAGATTTCAATATTAATGTCAAAAATACGTAGTATGATTTTACATAGGATTTGTGCCTACATTAGAACAGTCAAGACAAATATCTACATGCTGATTGCAGTACAGATGCTATATGCACAACACTGAAAGAAGTCAGACCTTTCAACTATAGACAAATGGATTGTAAAAAAAAATTAGAATAGCAGAAATTTATAAATTGGCAAAGATGAATAAAGAAAAAAAAACACCCAAAAAACTTTATCAAGGACTGGGAAATCATTTCTAAATTTTGTAGAAGGAAAGAAAGGAAGGAAGAAAGGAAGGAAGGAAGGAAGGAAGGAAGGAAGGAAGGAAGGAAGGAAGGAAGGAAGGAAGGAAGATTTTTATAGAAGGCTTTATAATCTAATCTGTTTAAATCTTTGTATGGCATTTTAAAATAATAATCATGCTAGAAGGAAGAATGGAAAAATAGTGTAATAGGAAGGAAGAATCACAGAATCAAAGAGTTGGAAGAGACCTCATGGGCCATCCAATCCAACCCCCTGCCAAGAAGCAGGAACATTGCATTCAAATCACCCCTGACAAATGGCCATCCAGCCTCTGCTTAAAAGCTTCCAAAGAAGGAGCCTCCACCACACTCCGGGGCAGAGTGTTCCACTGCTGAACGGCTCTCACAGTCAGGAAGTTCTTCCTCATGTTCAGATGGAATCTCCTCTCTTGTAGTTTGAAGCCATTGTTCCGTGTCCTAGTCTCCAAGGAAGCAGAAAACAAGCTTGCTCCCTCCTCCCTGTGGCTTCCTCTCACTGTACATTATTGAACAGAACAGAACTGTACATTATTGTCTCTAACCCAAAGGACGGAAAGTCATCACAATGGGATGGGTGGCAGTTAGGAATGGCATAGTGAGGTACAATCACTGTATGGATGTTAAGAAATATTGCATTTGTTTATGTGTGAGTGTGTGTGTGTGTAAATTGTATTGTTGTTCTTTTTGAGAAATATCAAATTTTAAAATAAAAAAACCATGAAAAAAGCTGCAGTAACACTATGTAAAACTTTAAATACAGTAGCAATGGTTCATTATTTGTTTTGTTATTTCTTATTTTGTTATGTTGAGAGGGTGAGACATTATGTTTTAATCTAAAAAGTTGTCATGTTTCAAATGCAGCAGAGATTATGCAAACAAAGCTTTGGTCTCTTTCTGTAATACCCCCCAATCCCGCTCCAAAGTAGATTGCCATACTGCAAGGTATCTATGCTCCTCTAGTGATAAGCTCACTTCCTATTCAATCAGGAATCTTTCTCGATGAGTAGGCCCAAAAGAAATCACAGGAACATATTGATTTTACTATTCAAGTTGGGCTGACATATTCATTTCCAGCCATTAATTCAGCCCTGTGCCTGGTGAATTGTTTCATCTCCTTGTATTAGGCTTTTCTATTTTGGTTAACCCTCTGATACTCACATTCCTTACAGGAGCTTAGGCAGAAGCATGCTGTATATTCCACCCATTGTTTCTATCCCCACCTCATATATATTAATAAAAAGGAGAGGGGAGAACAGAAAGCAAAAAAGGAGAGAGGCAATGAGGAGGGATATAGGGAAAGTGGAAGTTTAATTCCATCTAATTCCTCTCAATTTCTCAAAAGTGATAAAGGTTAAAGAAAAATTACCAAGCTGGATGTTTTTAAAAAACGATGACACACACACATAAATGTATGATTTTGTCAGTAATATGGCTTGAAATGTATTTTCTTTTATTTTTTCCTCCTAGGAGCTGAGTTGCATAATGGACAGTGGCATTCTGTTTCTTTGTTCGCTAAAAAGAACCGTGTAAGTTTGGTGGTAGATAATGATGTAACTTCTTCCTCTCATGCCTCAATACCCATGCAGATGCTTTCGGGAGACACTTATTACTTTGGAGGTGAGACACAATTTTGTTTGTAGCTAAGACTTGCTGCTTTGGGGCCTGACTTCTGAAACTGCATTAATGATGTTTGGTTTCAGAAGATTAGTTTGAGTATCATGGCATGAGTGACATTTCCTAAATTAATTCTGTTCACCTTCGATTCCAACACTAGCTATTAGCATTTTCTGAAATTCTGGGCTCAGCGCAGGAGTCATGAAATCAGCTCTAGTTTCATTGTTGACTTTAGTGTGACAGCGTTTGCATGGCCTGACTGTGTAATGAGGATTCCACTGCATTTTACATAATTAAAAACAAAGCACTTTATTGAGTAATAGCTATAGTGGCCCCATTTAGGCAATCCCACCATCCCTGATTGATGTTGAGAGAAGCATTATTGTGAAATAATAGCAATAAGCCAGCTTTTTAAAATAAATTTGTTGGTTTTACTGCCTATTTTCTTAAGACATTACAACATTGTCCTGAGTAGAATATGCATTTGCAATTAATAGAAGTACTTATGACATTCTCACATTGAGGTCAATAAGCCAGGTGATAGCAGGGGAATTCATGGTGACTCCAGAATGGGGTATGAGGAACATGGGAGGTTTCCTGTGTTCCATAGAGAAGAATGGGGGGAAGTTGGGTGGTAACACTTCCCCTGTGGGATTATATAAGGGGTGATGCAAGCAATAAAAGGCACTGGGTTCCCAGCCCTGCCTCACTTTAGGCACAGAGCCCCGCAGGGAGTAGGTCTACATTGTGTTATTGGATTGGCAGGCTCTGTGCCTGAAGTGAGGTCTGACTGTCATAGTACAGGCAATTTTGTCCATGTGATGTGGTCAGCATAAAGAGAAGAAAAATCAATTTACTTATCCTTCACCCCTTTTCAAACCACCCAAAACATCAGCACTTAAATGAGAAAGTATTGACTCTACTAATCAGAGCATTAATGGTGGTATTAGCATACCTAATTAATTTCAGGTTTTAGACCACTCTACCAAGGGTGCTGATTTTATTTTCAGCACCTTGGTAACTCTGTGCCCTTCCAGAGAGGCCCTATATGCCAAGGTCTGATCCCAGGTTTTCTGTATATCCCAGATTATCTGGCAGTGCGGACTCATACTATCAAGTTTAAAGCAGAAAGTCTAGGATCAGATCCTGGTACATAGGGCCTATCTTAAAGGGCTCTCTGTTATATTCCAGAGGTTTCTGGATTCACTGGCCCATTGATTTAGGAGCCCGTTAACATATTTGAGATGAGTTCAGCTCTTGACAACAAGAAAAAAATGGAAATAATGCTCACATATCTTCTGTCCTTGTTTGATTGGAACATTTGCATCTTTTCTAAGGTGACACATTTAATACTATCCCTTAAGTATCAACATTTGCATGTTTTCTAAAGTGACACATTTAATACTATCCCTTAAGTATCAATGGTGAGCCCTTTCAAAATCAAAGAAGAACATCAGGTTTACTGTAGGTACACATTATCTTGAATACTTTGCTGTGCCTCTGATGCCAAACATTTTATTTCTTGATGGAAGGGATAAGCAGATGTAGATGCAGGTGTTTCTTTATATAACATCCATGGTTTAAACCTTAGTCAATTTGGTAAATCAGCGGGTGGGCAACTTGTGGCATTAGGACTCTATATAATCCTTAGACCAGTTTGTTCTTTGAAAAGAATCATTTAAGCTACTTAGCAGAAATCCTGTGTACCTACCACAGCACTCTTCTTTTTGTGAGAAGCAAGAGATGGGGAAAGAGGGCACAAGAAGATTTCAGGAAGATGTGTGATCCTTCTGATTTTTGAGCCTGACCCCACCGCTTACCATAGCCACATATGCCCTTTGAAAAACAACATCTCTAAGCTAATGCAGCTATCAACAGAAAATGAAATGTTTCTCCTCATCTGAGCTAAAGGATCTAACATACTTGTTTTGGAATGTGTATAGTTCTGAATGTAAAATATTTTTGGTCCATGCTCATTTCTTGGCAGTTCATATTTGAACAAAACTGAAAAAAAATCTGATGAAGTGGATTCCTACACATCCCCAGTCATAATGCATAACGTTTATGGAAGGAAAGTGAGGATCATATGTTTTCACAAGAAACAGATTTCCTGAATTTGTACTTCAGTACTTAAACAGAAGTGTCTAAATACTCCAAAGGCAAAAGATCCCATATTATCCAGAAAGCCAACTAGGATCATCCCTGGTTTGTATGTGCATGTGAGATCACCAACAAATAATGTAAGCTATATTTCAGGAGAAGAAATTGGCAAAACCACTTAAAGTTTCACAACAAGGGTGGGTAACAAATGCAGTTGAATCTGGAGAAATTGTATGAGAAATTCCCCCCTGTGTTGTTTCTGTTATTTGCTGTTAAAGCTTCCTTGACTTATGGCGACCCTATATATGAGAAGTCATAGAATCATAGAGCTGGAAGAAACCTCATGGGCCATCCAGTCCAACCCCTTGCCAAGAAGCAGGAAATTCTCATTCAAAGCACCCCTGACAGATGGCCATCCAGCCTCTGCTTAAAAGCATCCAAAGAAGGAGCCTCCACCACACTCCAGAGCAGAGAGTTCTACTGCTGAACAGCTCTCACATTCAAGAAGTTCTTCCTAATGTTCAAGTGGAATCTCCTTTCCTGTAGTTTGAAGTAATTGTTCTGTGTCCTAGTCTCCAAGACAACAGAGAAAAAGTCTTCAAGAGCCCTACCTAAGTGCTCAGCTCGGGTCTTTCAAACTTAGAGCTGTAGCCTAAGTCTGCTAAGATTCAATCAATATGTCTGTCCTGTGACCTCACTCTTTTCTTGCTGTCTTCCACTTTGCCAAACACATGCCATCTTCAATTAGGTAGGAATGGTTGCAATTTGCAATCAAGGCATATTGCAGTCAGCACACACACAGAGCAAGGATGAAAGTAGTATTCACCAATTTTTGAAAAACAAATGTGGTTTCTCCACTATCAGACTTATAGTGCAATATACTCTCACGGTTCCGATATATGAAGCAGCTAAACGATGACTACAGGATTGGTGTTATGTCTTAATATGTTTTAATTGTTTCAATTATTTTATATGTTACCTGATTTAACAGTTCAATTGTGTTGTGTATTGTTGTTTTGTGTAATTGTGGCATTGAATAAATGCCAAAATTGGAAGTTGCCCTGAGTCCCCTCAGAGTGAGATAGAGCAGGGTAGAAATACAGTAAATACATAAATGAATAAATATCAAGAAATCTCAATAAAAAAACTTAGGTCCATTGTGATTTCTCACAGTTCAGGAATTATTCGGCAGGAGTGGGATGATTGTATGTGTGTATTTTATTTCAGTATTTTGCACAGGATGGCTTCTGCATTGAGAATAAGTATTTGATGAGTACTTATAAGAAAATTTAATACAAAAAAATTGTCTCTTAGCCTTGGGATCCAGGGGCAGGAGAACAATCTGCTTTAATCATGGATTAGCCATGAAGAGAAAAAAGAGAAACTTTTAAGCTTTGACTCAAAACAAACAAACAAGCTGAAAAGTCAGCAATAGATAAATAGTGTTTGGTAGATTTATATAAAGTCAGTAAGAAAAGTAAATAAAACTTGTTATGAATACATAATACTTTGTGGTTGTATAAACATAGGTGAAGCATGGCTGCTAGGACAGCTATGAAAATCTACCCAAGAAAAGATCATCAGGTGCAAATTCAATGATTGAATTACTAGCATGATTGCACTGAACATATCATCAATGTTGTTCAGTAGGGATAGCTAAAGTGTGTTTCTGTGGAAGAGAGGTTTGACAATCAGAACTAGTCTTGCTGTTCTATATTCTGTTGGTATAACTGTTGGAAAGATGTAGGCAGCTGAGAGCTGCACACCAGCCTCAGCCTCTGTCAGCCAATATCTGCCAGAAAAAAATGAAAAGTGAATTATTTACCCATGGCTACTATTCCTTGTAGAAAAGCTTTGTGATCAAAGTAGCATTTGGTTCATGAAATCTCAATCATATTATTCATATAAATTATTATGGAAAGAGGAAAGAGGTTTCTGGAAGTCCACAAATTCCCCTTGTATCCTCATTCTAATTTGTGGTCAAATCATGTCCGTGTGAAGCTTTTGAAGTACTAACAGGGTGCACTCTCCACCCTAGTAACCTGAGCTCACAATATTCACAAGAGAATACAAACATCTCTTCATATGTTCAAAGTCCCTTTGAGGTCCCCATCCCTGTGGGAGGAAGCTTTAGATGTTCACGCATTTTATGTGAAGATCTGAAGAGGGCTTCTATTCACATTCAACTGGATGTGCTTAGATACAGCTGGATAACATCCATTATCTCATCTTAGGGGACATCACTTTAACACTGAGAAGAACAACATTTGACTCCCATTCCTTCACGTGCTAATTCTATGCATTATCTGAATTGATATATTTCCCAAGACATTTGAGCTGTTGCCTTTGAGCTGTTGCCAGCAAGGTTTTGTGGAAATTGATTTGATTTTGGTTAGTATTGAGTTTTTTAGTTGAAATGCATACTCATGAAACCAACAGTGAAAGTACCGTAGCATAGGCTTTGTGTTTTTGAAAAAATGCAAACGCAAGAAAAGCAAAATACATTAAAATCCACTATTCATATAAAATAATGTATTTCATTTCAACATGGATAGATATAACATGCTGGTCAGAAATCAGACAAAATAGTGGAATGATTGATTCATTACCAAAAGGATCCTGGCACATACGTTTTTATTCTATAGAGCAAACTAGATTTTAAAAAGTTAAGGTCTAAACATAGCTACAGTCTATGTTCCCCATAAAATTGACAATTTCAATTTAGTTTTGAATATAAATCTATATGATGTAAATCTATATGAGGTCAGGAAATAGCTTTCAGCAACATCTTTGAGTGCGTCCTTTGTAAAGTCAGTGAGGCATATCTGCTTTATTCTGACACATATAATCATGGAATCAAAGAATTGGAAGACACCACATGGGCCATCTAGTCCAACACCCTACCATACAGGAAAAGCACAATCAAAGTACTCCTGATGGATGGCCATCAGGCTTCTGTTTATAAAAGCCTGCAAGAAAGGAGCTTCCACCACATTCCGAGGCAGAGAGTTCCACTGCTAAAAAGCTCTGACAGTCAAGAAGTTCTTCCTAATGTCCAAGTCCAAAGACCTCATCACAAGAATTTCTATGGATCATGGTGAATCCATCAATGCCAAGAGGGGGACATGGGGAACCCATCACCCCATTCCCCGCATCACCTGACTTACCCCTAACCCCAGACCTTTACATCAAGTTTAAATGTCGCTAGCAATTAGCATTAAGGGCATAGTAGATTATTCCTTTTGGGTTCATTAGATATAACAGTTTCTTCAGTGAATTTTAAGTGTGCTATTCAGATTGGGTCCAAACATTTTGTGTTGTGATATGACTGGTATCCTACTGGTTACTCCTAACTGAGGCAGATTCATTCAATCAATTGTTCCAAGGTGAAACCACATATAAATAACTTGAATAGATTCAATGGTTCTAATTTAGTCAGAAGTAAAAGAGAATTTATAGCAAAGTACCCATACAATATCTTGCAATGGCTAGATAGGATATAGCAGCACTAAAGCAAGGGGCTAAAAAGTAATGTGTAATATTTAATTCCAGGCAATATTGGCCAATTCCTATGCACATTTCAGAAGTTTTTCAAAAAGAAGTATGCATGTGACCTGCACGGACACTGTCAAGATAATTGTGTGAATATTTGAAAATAGCAATGGTTTGGCATAAAAATAGAATACAATAGAATTTAATATAATTTCCACATTGTATTATTTCCAGAATATTAAGGTTTTCAGTGCCATGCAGCTTTATCCATCTAAAGTAGGAATGAACAACTGTTTAGAGTTGAAGATGGGTTCCATAGCTCTTCAAAAGCCTTGTGGGGTGGGGGAATTGTCCCTCTTTGGTGTCACTGCTGAAGCTGCTTCTGAAATTTGATAGCAACTGCAGAAGCTCTGATATGCAGAAAGATGGCAGAGCATCACTACATATCAGAGAGGCTGGTGAGACCACAGAATGACCACAGAAGTGTATCACATGGTTTCATGCTAGTAAGGATCTCAATATTTATTTCTTACAATATTATTTATTTCAAAACATTATCCCAGTTACAATATTCCATGGTTTCAGTCCAAAAGCTCTGGGTTTTGTTTTTGTTTTTTGTTTTTTGAGGAAACAACAGTTGTTGCTGTTAATAAAATAAGGTGTTGCTCTTTCTTTTCTTGCTCCATCCTATGGTAGTTGACAATATTTATAATGCAGTGTCTCAACATAGAAAGACAAGATCAAGATTGAGGAAGTTTGTGGAGGTACAAACGGATTTTTGTTTCAGGTTTGAAAGATAGGGCTTAGTGGGCAAACTAGGAAATGAAAGAATGGCAGGTTTTTGCAGGAGTTGCATTTTTAGTGAAAATCTGAAAGAGAAGAAGGATTCAGCATTATCTTGGGGGCAACCATCGCTAGCCATCACTACCATTTACTTACACAGGCACTGAAAAGGAATTTCCCCCATTCTTTTAAAATTAAAATTCAGTATGAACTCTTTCCAAAAATAAAAGAAGAAGAAGAACCATTTCCTTCTTGAGTAGAGTGGTGAAAGATCAGAGCTTACTTCATTCTGGGAGAATCTAGAAGAGCTACTGGTTCCCTCTGTTCTCTTGGTGCCCCTTTGAGGGAAGCACCAATGTGCCAGCAATGTTGCAATTATTTTGCCCAGGCTTTGCAAAAGTCAAAAGTGGCACTGCACTGGACAAACTAGTGCTTCTTTAAAGTTCTCCAGGACCAGCCAATTTCTCACTTTTTGCCGCTCTACTCAGATAATTTGCTGCTCTACTAAGATAAGTGTATGATTCTTTTTTAAAAAACAAACAATTAAGTACAGTGCTTACTATGTATGAGTTGACCTAAGTTTTTTTGGAGGGGGGGATTTATTTGACTGAAATTACTAGACTTATACATTACCATACGGAATAAATACAATAACAAGATGGCAAAAATATGATAGGTATAGGTAAAGGTTTCCCCTGACATTAAGACTAGTCCTGTCTGACCCTGGGGGGGGGGGGGGGAGGGGGTGGTGTTCATGACCATTTCTAAGCCAAAGAGCTGGTGTTGTCCATAGACACTTCCAAGTTCATGTGGCCAGCATGACTGCATGGAGTGCCATTGCCTTCTCGCAGAAGCCATACCTATTGAGCTACTCACATTTGCATGTTTTCAAATTGCTAGGTTGACAGAAGCTGGGGCTAACAGCAGGAGCTCACCCCACTCCCCAGATTTGAACCACCAACTTTTCGGTCAGCAAGTTCAACCTGCTGTGCCAGCAGGGGGCCCTTACAAATATGGTACACTGGGAAAATATTGTTGCTCCACCACACCAGGCAATTTGAGAAGCACTGATTACAATATCCAACCCTTCTTAATTTCTATTAAATCCAAAAAGCTGTGTGCATTATCACCATTCCTTCTTTCTAGGTTAATTCATCTGGTAGGTAATCTATTTTTTCCTTAGAATCCTTTTTTTTTTTTTGGCAAGGTTCAGTTTGAAACAGATTTCATTATGAATGTGTCTGCTAATATGAGACAACAAGTCCTTTAACTACTACTACACCCAGGAGGCAATATTGTTTGATTAAAATCAAAGTAGTGTCTCCAAATATCAATCTTTGGGCAGCATTGCCTTTTGAGAAAAAAAATACCAAGGGGCCAGAGGGTGCGTGGGGAAATGTTTCATTTGAGAGTTTTTTTTTTACAACCTATTAGCATTTATGTCTGCTCCAAGGATTTTTATCAGTGGAAGGGGTTGTATTGTGGAGAAAATGAAAACATACCAATTTGCATATGCTGTTCACAAACTAACTGCTAAGTTTTCTTCCTTTTCTTGTGGGCACTGTATTAATTGCTGTTTTGTTTCAGTCGTTTATTTTATTGCTATCTGAATATTTTGCTCATGTTCAGATATTACCCCCTCTGTCCACTGGAAAAAATAAATTTCTAATATTGTGTTGTTGTAATTATAAATATTGTCTTGAAAATGAGTTATTTTATTAGAAATTTCATTTTACAAAAAAACCCTAACTCCATACCATGTAAATATCTCTCTGATAGTGTTGGTTGCCAAGGTCAGGCAGTGCCTCAGGAACTTCATCTCATATGCTTTGTTGTTGTGTACTGCAACCACCGGAGTATAGTATATGAGCATTTCAACTGAAAACTGTACCATTACTCCCATGACGGGATGTTTTCATTTTTCCACTTTTGGTTGTTGCTATCATCATCAACCCACATTCTGGCCAGCTGTACCTGATCCAAACTGGAGAGGATGTTTCAGTTTTGGACAATTTTTGGCTGATCATTTTGGTTATATTTTTGGTTTGGGTTTTCTGGGGCTAGGGCAGGAAAATGTGAAGGATTTTAGAGTCTAGAATGGGGATGTGATTGCAGGAAGCTTGTGTACACACTCTAGCCAGTGTTAGGAGAGCAATGATAAACCCTAGGACAAGGGTACACCTGGTGACAGTTACAATTTTATCTTCCCAAAAGGAAAGGAGTTACAGGTGGCTTAACCGCCATGACCAACAACAAATCATAAATTAAATTCATTAAGGGTGAAGTACAACACTACATTAGACGATTCCTACTCATGCAGTCTCTTTCCTCTCCTTCACGATTCCACCCCTTCCAGAATCTTTTCTGGGTGATCTTTAAACCCATGGTGCGGGTTGTGCTGGGTACAGCAGATAATGGACACTTCCTTTTATTCAACTGAATGGTGATGATAATGACATTAGAATACTATTTCTGTACTATTTCTGTACTATTTTTGTATTGAAATAGAATACTATTTCTGTATTATTTCAATACAACACTTATAATGGCATTTTTTTCCTCAGAGAGTGAAATTAAAGCATTTTGGTCTGTTCTTAAATTCACTTTTTCTAGACCTTTTCATATTTTACTTTTTAAAATTGTTTTTCCAGGATGTCCTGTTCATGTCAACAGCTCAGAATGTAAAAATCCATTTGGAGGTTTCCTTGGGTGTATGAAACAAATTTCAATTGATAACAGTGAAATGGATTTAATTTCTGTTCAACAAAACTCAATGGGAAACTTCAGCGACCTTCAGATAGATCTCTGTGGCATCGTAGATAGGTGAGAGAGATTTTGTTTTCACTAGAATTCCTATTTTTGTTGTTGGTGGTGATGCTAGTATCTTTGGTTCTGCACAAATAATTCTCCTTTCCGGACTGGTTGGCCACTCTGAAGTATTAGACTAACATTTCCTCTTCCATGCAATGGAAGGAGATGTCTGTGGCAAAGCTTTTGTTTGTCATCTAGTTTCTTGTTCCTCAAAAGTTGTTTGCTCTGTAATTCATGCCTTCCTAAATTGTTTTCCCCCAAAAGTTCTTGACATTTTTTTTTACTCATGTGCTTCTGATGTTGCTTATCTGTGTCTTTTTCCTCCCCAATTGACGGTTGCATTTAGTAAACTTTCCACTGATATTTCAACTTTTACTCAAAAGCACTAATTCTGATGTGAATGAATAGAATAAATAGACTGTTTTATGCAAGTTGCGAAACTGAAGGTTGTTCTATCAGTATTTAAAATTTGGTATATTAAATTATTTTTAGTCCAGGAAAGCTGAGCGTTACCTCTCCGAACGTATTCTCCCCTACGTACCATCAAGACTACTAAGATCGTCTGGAGAGGCCCTGCTCTCGGTCCCACCGGCCTTGCAAGCGCGCCTGGTGGGGACGAGGGACAGGGCCTTCTCGGTGGTGGCCCCGCGACTCTGGAACTCTCTCCCTCTGGAGGCCAGAACCGCCCCATCCATCCTAACATTTAGGAAACGGGTGAAGATGTGGCTGTGGAGTCAGGCCTTCGATGAATGAGACAACACCATAGGACCCTGGATGGAAGTTGATGTAGATCCATCTTAATAGGACGACTGACCACTGTAGTTTTATATATAGTGTTTTTAAAGTTGTTTTTGTAATTGTGATATATGATATTTTAATGAGTGTATATGTTTTTTATGGCTGGAAACCGGGCTGAGTCCCTCAATGAGGTTGAGAAGCTCGGTATAGAAAACTGTGAAATAAATAAATAAATAAACAAACATCATCTTAAGAGAAAATCAGCTAAATGTTGGCAATATAAGGAAGATAATATCTTCTTGTAGCATATGTTGCCAGCAGGTCCAGTGTGGGTTCCTTAGCATATATTTCTAGATGCATTGTAACATATCAATATCGTGTTAGAAAAATTGTATATGTAGTTGCTTGTGTAATTTTGACTTGTGTTTGGAACTTAAGTAATACTAAATGTGTTGTTCTATCTTGTATGCTCTTATTGTATGCTTTGGGTTAGAACAAAATATGTAATAGTCATTGTTCAGTGGCCAAAGGGTTTATATATAATATTCAATTTACAGATATCAAAGTCAAACAAATATTGGGATGGTCTTACATAGTTAATACATGCAAACATATATGCTTAACACATAAGAACCTTATATATTATTCCCCATGTTTATATAGTCAAACAATAATAAATGATAAGCCTTACTTAAAATAATTTTAATGCAGAACATCTGTTCAGTATTTTATAAAGTCATTGGGTATGGTATCTGGAGTGAAAATTAGCAGATGCATTCTGGTAGTTTGTAGATGGCCAAAATATACATAGATGTTTTAGTAGCAAAAAGCATCATAAATGAAAGTGAATATTATGATTTCCTTTCAAGTTTGCATTTCTCCAGAAAATCGTCAAGCCAAAAAAGCAGTTTATACTAGGATATTTCTGGTAAATTATAGTTTTGTTTAAATTCAGCATTATTCATCTGCTGAAAAGAGACATGTTTGCATCTTAAATCGAAGTGTTCTCTATCAGATTAGCCTTTGATTAGCTAAAGTGGACAAATTCTTGCTTTTAAGTCATATCTTTGTGAATTTAATGCAGTTAAATGTGAAAAAAACTTGGTCAGTTTTTCCCCCTTCCTAAGGCATAAACAAAATATTATAGTACAATCAGAAATAATTACATTCTATTTTGTTTGCATTAGTTAAATTTGTCTGCTATGCAGAACTGCAATATTCTGGTTGCAAAAATTCATGCAACATCATTGTATATCATGCATATTATTTGATAATTATCCAAATAATGGAGTGGGTTGGAAAAGATGGCCAATAAGTTTTCTTCCTACTCTTATCTGTCATTTAAAAATTACTCCTTTTAATGTTTGTTTATGTATAGGATAAAGGAAATAGGATTTCCTTAGCTTATTTACATGTAGTGTTCTCTGCATTATATACCACATTTTTCCCCATAGTGTTTTGATGCTCCCATTTTCTCTACTACATTAGAGTTTTTTCACATTTGTATGTTTCACAGATATTCAAAAGGTATTGCTTTCTAAGAATGAAGATTTCACAAAGTCAATAACATCTGGATCATAGAACTGACATTTGCTGATTTTTTAAAGCAGAGGCTAATGTTGTTAGTGCATGCTTAAGAACTGGGGAAATTGTGAGAAACTGAAACTATGATACCTGTTGTGCTATCAACTGCACAACTTCAGAGTCCAGAGTAATTATGCTGAAAGATATTTATATGAACCACATGAATCTCATTTTCCGCTGAGGGTGCAAGCAGCCTACACAGCAAACTATAAGATGCATTAGTATCATTTATCTGACATGCTCTCAACTGATGAAAAATGTTTCTTTCAAGCAAGCACATGCTTTTTCTCACCTGCATTCACTAAGTGATGGGACATTTATGATGAGTCATTAGAAAGTAAACTTACGCTTCATTTGTAAGTCTTGTTGTAGAGCCAGCCACAGGGACTCTTGGTTGGATAATACTGCTCTTAACGGGGAAATTGTGTGTTTGGACATCACCTCCATTGGAAATATTCAAATATGTGTATAAGAGGAGCTGTATACTGGACTTTAGCCCAAATCAGTTTGAATGAAAAGATTTGTAGTATTAAGTGGTCCATTTTATATAATCTCCAAAAACAGAAGAGGGAGGAGGGAGCCAAAAAGCCCAGCAAAACAGATTGAGAGATCAGGATTTTATCTGATTCCTGGCTAGGAAGGAGTTAAGTCTGCAATATACCCAAGGCAGGGGATCTGCTGTGTCTTTTCCTCTCTCCCCCAGCAGCACCAGTGTCCCTCCATTTATTTTTGGAAATAAATAGCCTTCTACTCCAGAGAGGGCCCTGCTGGGAACTTGCTTTCACAGCAACACTTGCATAGGGCAGGCATTGGAAAGTTCACCTCAGAGCAGGATGGGAGTAAAAGTTTATGTCCCTTTCTGTTTCTCAGCCAATAAAAATGCTTTGATTGGCTGAGAATTGACACCACCAGCACCTACAATTCCCAGAACCCACTCTTGTCCTATTTTAAAAACTGTTATGGTTAAAACTTAAAACAGTTCTAAAAAATAAGTAGATTGGTGAATTGTTCTGAAACCTGACAGCCCTGCAGTTGTAAATGGGATCAAAAACTGAGGTATGTTTCATGCAGATAGGACTTAAAATGACTGAGTACTGAACCTTTAAAATGTTCCCATTGTAGCCAATGGGCTGAATATTTGTTGAAGGAAAATCCCAACACCTTTCTTGATTTGAGTAAATCTCTGGTAAACAGAATGAGGGGCCAGTCAACAACTCACTGCAAAATGGGATGTCTTTTGGCTAAATTGCACACCTCTATTGTATACTATACCTATACATGTTGTCTGTGCTCTTTATTTAAAATTATTTGCATTTTACCTTTTGCCTTTATAGATGTCTACCCAATTACTGTGAACATGGTGGTGAATGTTCTCAATCCTGGAAAAGTTTCTATTGCAACTGTGCGAACACAGGCTACATGGGAGCTACATGTCATTATTGTGAGTCTTAAATGCTCATTATTTTAAATATTGTACTGTAGACGAATAATTATTTATATTATTTTCTTTTATAGCTTTGTTTTGTAGTGATAGCAGTCTTCAAGTTGTTTGGACTGTTTTTTCTCTCAGACACAAGTTATTTTCCCATTCATTCCAAGGCCTTAATGCTGCTCTTACATCTGTCTATCTAAGTATAAGATTCTAGACCCCATCATGTATCTGATTGCACTGTAAGGTGGGCAGTGTAGTCATGGAATATGGCTAATTTGGAATTTGGAATAAGGCTAATGCAAGTATTATTATTTCCAGTGATATTAGTTCCCTTATAAATTATAGGGGTCAGCTCATCACTAAACAGAAAAGATGTATAGATCAGACTCATACCTAAAAAAACTAATGAGTGGTTCAGAACCTAACCACTGACATTTTAAACTTCTCACTCAGCCACACTGAATCCCATTTATTGATGAACACATGGCTAAAAGTGTAAAAATAGATTTTTTCCATCCCTATATTTAAATACAATCAACCACTTGCCTTTGTTATGCCTTATTTGGGAATTACCTCACCCTCCCAAAGTTCTTCTTTGCCAAAGAAGGCAGCCAAGTGTTTCTGGAGAGAGCTGGTTGTTTCCAGATAAGAAAGAAATGCTTGGTAGTCCTTTGATCTAGGCTGTCTTAGAAACAAGTCACTCCTTGTGTTCACTTATTCTTTCACAGAATAATAAAATCAAGAAATTACTACATATCCATCTACTCTATTGAACTTGATCTGTAAACAGTGCCATTAATCTATACCATAGTTTCTGAGGCATAGGTTGCATGAATAATTTCCATAGTTTTTGCTCTACTGCAGGAAAACACAAATATTGCTATCAGTTTTTGCCTAGTATTCACTTATCTTCAAGTGCTTTCCACAGAAGTATGATGGTTTGAAAGGCTATATGTGTGTGTGTGTGTGTGTGTGTATGCTTTATGCATAAAATCAGGATTTCATTCAAAAAAGTTGATAAAAATAGGTATGATTTTAGACACAAGAGTGCCTTCTGTGTAGGAAAAAGCATTCTAATGGAAACACACATGCGGAAAGCACGTGCGCGTGTGCACACACACACGTATGTATATTTCCCTAAACACTTTGGGATGTAAGATTATGAACAAAAACAGCACCAAATCCTTGTGTCGTGCTATTTTTCCCAAACTAGATTTTCTATGTTGAGAATTTGTTTGTTTTTCTTTACTTTTCTTTTTTTCAAATTTGGGGCTAAAGCCAGTTTTTCCACCTGGGAAACCAATAGCAATAAATATTCCTTTCATTCCTACTGCATCAGGAAACTGTCTTCATTATTTGTACTATTCTAGACACTAAAAGAAACCCAACCTCTTTCACAAGAATATGGTGTGAGCATCAAAATAATTGTTTCCCATTCAGATTTCTAGCACCTCCACCAAAGGTGCCAAATACATGAAAAACCTAAAATGGTTATGAAAATATGTATTTGTATAAATAAGTATTTTGGAGGTAAGCTTTGCTGAATTATCAAAATTCATACTATATTTCATGCCAACGTAAAGTGTGATTTTTCTAGGTGTTCTTTAAACACATACATTTTGAGTATTGTTTAGTTTTTTAATCCTTTTCTCCTTTCACAGTAACATTTTAAATTTTCGTTTGAAGAAAAGTTTCTGTGCAATAAAGTGCAATTATTTTCTTCTAAAAAACAGGCCAAGTAAAAACATTTTCAGCCATACATTACCATTTTAAAATAACAATTTTGGACAGCATGTTTATGGGATGATAATGAATCAGTTTGGAAAGTTGAACTTAAGCCCTTTAAATGGAGAGTATATTGTAGTGAGATACTTTGAGCTGTTTAATTGACAGACTACAAGTTTGCATCAAAGGCCTTTTCATACTTTCTGCAGCTTGACTGCCATACGAGTACAGTCTGAATAAGATACTGAGAAGGCAGAACTGCTAGTACTTATTTATCTTTGAAATTAAAGCTTTGTCAGCTAGTTAGTTCAGCTGCTCCGAAAACAAGGAAGAAAAAGCCTTCTAATTACTCAGGAGTATAAGCAAGAAATACCAGACACTCATTTTATATAACTTCTGAATAATTTCTTAGGACAGGGATAGGGGTAGTGTGGCTCATGGGCAGCATATAGACCCCAAGTCTTCCCCTTTAATTTTAAGTGATATGATTTCTTTATACTTTTTCACTACAAAACGACTCCAGTATAAAAAACCTCCACTTATGCAGTACTTTATAAATGTAATGGTTTGCACAAACTCCCTCAAAACTACCTCATCCTCCAAAAGGCCTTTTTTGCACAAAACCAGAGAACCTGAAATTATGTTACATCACATCCTGTGCGCCACTACTGCGGCCCATGAACATGGAGATGTGGGGAGTGTAAATTTTCCTTTGCTTCCATATAGTTGCCCATGTCTGCATCTATACTAGCGCTTAATCAAATTTAGAGATCATATTAGCCTGGGGGTCCAAATGAGTTTTAACCGGTTTAATTTGTTTTAATCTGAGTCTTAGAACAAATTAAGATTTGTAATCCATCTTGATCTGAGGTTCAAAAAGATACAGAAAAAGGTCAGTCTTCCAGGAAGATTCACACCATGCCCAGTTTAGGTGTTGTGGGGACTGTCATTTCGGATCCCCAAGTGGGATCTGAATTAATGTCCCCACACAGCCATTCTGCATTCCCTGGGCTGTATCTCCCTCCCAAAGAACAAAATCTCCACTTTCCCTGAGCTCCCTGCTGTTTCCTTTCTGTTTCTTTCTCAAACAGGATGGAAAGCATCTTAGGAGGAGGAGAGGGGCAAATGGTGCCTATGTACAGTCCTGTCCTGTCAAACTGACTTCGGCATGGCTGCACTGTGTGGACAGTCTCCTGCTGTGGAACCAACTTAGGAAACCTTTGTGTGGCCACAATGCAGCCCAGTCACATTTTGTGGCTGTGTGGAAGGGCCCCATGCCTAATCTAATATTTACAATGTGAAAGCAGAAGACTGAATTCCACATGAGAGCCCTAAAACTAGTTGAAAGGGATAACTCTCCATGAAATGGTGCTTATCTTCCTGAAATGGGGCTTGCATGTCTTGATTATTGTTGCATCTACAATGTACATCTCACCATCAGAAGCAAGGTGAGCCCAAACATTTTGCTTTCTGAGGAAAAGTCACAAAAGGAGACTCCCACTGACTCAAGGTGCAAATTACCTTTCAAAAAAGAAGCAGAAAATTCTACCAGTACCTCTCCCTATGCTTTGTAGTACAAATATAATAATCACAAAGTAAATATCCATTTGCTGCCATGTCAGGATATCCCAGATATGATGCCACTGTTTATTTAATCTAATAGTAGGACTGGCCACTATTACCATCATTTTTGCTGGAAAAAGAGGCAACTGAAAGCACTGATATATTGTTTGTATCATAGAATCATAGAGAAATAGAGTTGGAAGAGACCACATGGGCCATCTAGTGCAAGTCAAATGATGACCATCAGATGAATGGCTTGTTTCCCAGGGTAGTCCCATGAATTTATTGTTGATGTGCCTCTGCTTTTTAGCTACTACAAATGTTGAAATTTAGGAATCCCTTTGAAACTGAATCAGTTTCTTAAGATTCCAGACCATGACCATTAACATTTTCGTTGGGAGCTAGATAATGTGGAGACATCTGAAAACAGCATAATACAAACAAACAAAACTGTGGAGAAAGGCAGATGTTAAAGAACATGTCCAGCTTCATCCTATGTCCCTAGCATTTAGTGTAGAACCATAAATTAAACTAAAACAGGGTATTGAATATGCTGATAAACTGAAGTCTAAACTAATAAACATGGTTGAGGATCAGCATCCCACTCCTTTTTGACAAAAGAGTTTCATTTATATTACTCATTCTTGTTTGACATCACATTATTGTGTTATTTAGCCATTTGTTCACCTCCTCCTTCCATTTCTTGTGAAAGCTCTGTTGTTTAGGAGAGAAAGACCCACTCAGACATTTTCTTTTGATAGGAGTAAATGTTGTTTACTTATGCCATTTTATGGTGTGATTTTCTCCTTACTTTCCTGAGCATTGAGTGCATACATTGCATATTTCAACCCCCACCTCCACAATTGTTCTTGCCCCAAATAAAATGCAAAATGATGCCATTATGTTTGTGATGGAATATATTCTTTTACAGCTATTTATGAGCAATCATGTGAAGCCTATAAGCACAGAGGGAACACTTCAGGTTTTTACTATATCGATTCAGATGGGAGTGGCCCCTTGGGACCATTTCTTGTATACTGCAATATGACAGGTAAGGTGATAAACTCCCTTAACTCGTGGTTCTGTCTGCATGCATTCTCATTATATTGAAACACAATCTATCAATTAGGAAGTATACCTATTTTGGAGCTTGTGAGTTTAAAGTACAGGCAGAATGAAGGTGACTTCTCAGCACAGAATATCGGAAATGAATTAGGCAAGGAAATTACAATAACAATAGGTTCAAACTATGAAGTTACCATTCTTTCTCTGTTACACTATATTCATTTTCTTCACACTTTTTCACTTGAGAAGTTGTCACTTCACAAGGATGCAGTGAATTGAAAATAATGTTGCATTTTTCATGAGAAAAGGAATTGAGTTTTAGAATAGGTTTCATTCATTCCTCACATTCAAATGTGATTGATAGCTCTGATTATTTCCTTTTCTGTGTTGCCTTGATTATGTCTTTTGGGAAGCATTTATTATACAGGTTTGCCTTTTACAATTGTGTCTTTAAACTATGAGAAATATTGAGTGGTGTCCTCTCCAAGTAAAATGGGTGTTGTTTGTGGATCCAAGATCCCTGCCCCATTGCATCCCCCAAGAACCCCTCACATCTGACACACAGGATTATATGCTCAAGAGAAGAATGTGAAAGCATGCTGGGACTGTGAGGGGAAGGAGAATCAGGGTGACTTCCATTCCCACTGAATGGGTCCTTGACTTTTTCTCATTTTTTGGTACTGCTTTTATCTTGACTGTGATGAAGAACCACAATCCATTCACTGAATAGTTACCACAACTATTCCCAAGCTTCTTAAAAGCAACAAAAAGAGCAACTATGCATTATTATTTTTAGCAAATAAAAGAGGGGGAAAGGGCTACAGTTTAGTCAACCCAGTGATTCTAAACTCTGTCAAAAGAAGGGCAACACTCTAAGGTGGAGTGAAGCTTGACTTATCCTTGTGTATCACAGAACAGCTGCTAGTATTCTCATTAGTCACTTCTTATCCAATACATTAGGCAAATCTCATTGATCAGCTCCTTGTCGAGAGATGCAATCTGACAGGATGAATCTTCTGCATTTGTTTTCTTCACTGTTTCCTTGCAACTGGCATTCCCTTTTCCCACTAGAGGCAATGAAAGCAGATGCCCACTTTTCTTACACTGCTGCCTTGTCATTGATATTCATGTGGCTTGCTTCTCAGGCAGCTGGAGAGGGAGGTACTGTTATCGTCTCTTATTCATGGAGGTCATTTTCAATATCACCAGCCTGAGGTCCAAAGCTTCACATCAAATGACAAGTCTTTGTAAGGAAACATTGTTCTCATGTCCGTAGAGGTCTGTGGGTATAGCTTTAGAAACCTCCCTGATTCTTTTTCAGTCTTTAGAGGTGTAAAACCTTTGTGTAAAAAGTAATCTTACATTTAATTTTGCACTGGTTTATCATTCACACCACTAATACTGGCTGCATGCTGTTTTTCACAGTACTTGTCTACTCAAAAATAAGTCCTGTTGACTTCATTGGGGCTTATTCCCAGGAAAGTTTGTATAGGTATAAAGTACTGATGCAGATTCCTCATCTGATAAATAAATGTTAATCTCTCATTCTACATTTCTACTAGAGTTGATTTACATATCTTTAAAAATATTCTTTCTGGTGTCAGTCACTGCCAGACTTTTCAGTATAAAAGCAGCTGAAGGCAAGGTCTCCTGTTCCGCAGAATAGTTAAAACACTTAACTGTAAAATATTGATTTAAGCTTCCCGGGAGACACTAAGTCTATAAATAAATGCAGTGAATGGATTGGGCAAGATTATAATAGTAAATTCTTACATAAGGTAGCATCAAGCAAGGGCAAAGGATGATAAACTAATAAACAAATAAAATTGGACAAAATGTACCCTAAAATATGCTGAGCAGCAGGTTTTAAAGTTGACTTTACTGTCCAGCATTCAGCCAGCCTTGTCTCGGCTTTCTATAATGTAGCAGTATAATTTGTCATATGCCATTCTGCTATAGAGGGTCAGCCTTTCCCAATGCACAGAAGGACAGGGTTTGTTTTTGCTGACAACACAGCTGGGAGGGCCGTGAATGAATTTGCCCTTGGGAAAATTATTTACCATATAAACATACAGGGATTTGTGCTGTAAGTCAGCAATTCTAAATCTATGCACCAGGTAAGACAATAGGTTCTGCTTTTTAAGTGGACATGTATAGGATTGTGCTATGAATGGTTCATTCACTTGAATCAGCATACAGATAGGGTCAAAAGGCACATAAGTGAAGCCACTATCAGAAAGGGTCAAAATATACGTATGTTCCAGTAAATAGTTGAATCATGGCCAATATTGGAATCATTGTGGCTGAACATCTGCCAAACCTTACAGCTCTCCATGATGCTGTGTGGAGAATTTCCTGTTCTCTTTAAACACACAAAGCAATGGCAATTATAGAATGAGGGTCCACAGAGAAGAGGAGCTTGTGAGGGCATCTTACCCAAGGCTTTCCCTACCTGAATTCAACACTGGTGTAGATGCAATGAAACCAGTATTTCACTTGTCACCTTTTTAGAAAACAGATTGGTAGTGGTTCCAGTGTTATCTCCAGCTGAATTTCTTCTTTGATTTTGAAAACTAAAATTATGTGACACTGTTTCTGAAGTGCAAAGAACATATTATAAATTATTCATTGTTTCACTTCATATAAAATAAAATTCCACCTTTTTACAGAATACTCTCAAAGTGTCATTTGCCATGTCTTTAAATTCTTTCAAGTTTGTATGCTTTGTCTTTCCCACATACATCTGGAATTGATACAATTCTGTATGAAAAGAATAATCATACACATCACCATTCTTTTTCTGGAATGTTTCCCAGTGGACATATGCATTGTGCTGTCTGATAAAACACCATCAAACCCATCCAAACAATGGCTTTGATCCAGAACATTCTCTTTGTGAGTAGGAAGGCCTCCTTCTTGCTATAAATACTTCTGCAGAAGAAGTAAGGACGAACAAGTTTTTAACTGATTCCTCCCTGCATTGAAGCCCATTGTGATCCCTGAAAGTCTCCTCTGGGAAGCTGGGAGGGCCCTCTGGTGAAGACAGTTGCATGGAAAGTTAGAAATTAGCAATTCCTCTCCCTCCTCCTATCCCTTTCTGTTAATTGGTGTATTTGGTACACCAAGATAATTCTGCTGCTAGTAAAAAGAGTTGACCAAGCCAATGTGAATATCCATATAACTTTAAGAAGATTCTTTTTGACGTGTGCTTTCAAAATCACACACACAATATATATATTCAGAGAGATAAGCATGATGATATTGAGATTTTGTTTTGCTCTGTTTCATCACTATCTATGTGAACATCTACAGCAAAAACGAGGGGCAAGATGCAGAATGGGGAAGAGAAAGCAGGAAAAATGCAAAGGAACAGAAGGAGCTGAAAATGTTTCAATGGTGCATGCTCATACTAGATAGCTACATTTTTATTTCCTTTCCCAGATTGTGGAGATTTGTACCACTGTGCACTGACACCACCTCCATTTTGTAACCCATTAAAATGGCTCTCTCCCATATAGATTGAACAATTCCTTCCACCAACCCCAAAAATTTGCATGAGTGTTAATTTGTAATATTTTTATCCTTCAGGAATTATTTTATATTTAGGAGAGACCTTTATGTAAGCATAAAGTAAGCCAGAACTGGTACATTTCTGTTAACAAATGGGCAGCTCCTGGCAGGGCTAAAAATATGGCAAAAGTGTCTACAGCCTCTGAGAGTGGAGGGCGGAGAATTATATTTGAATACAAACATGTAAAAAAACAAAGCCTCACAAAATTGGACGTGGAGGCCCTTAATGGCCTCCAAAACCCACCTTAGAGGCACACATAATCCACAAGCCACATTTTCTCCACATTTTGCCACAATAGTCAGTTCCAACTAGTATAAACTCATTGAATCAATTTGAACTTGGTAAAGTGACACTTTCATTTGGGTCCAATCTGGCTGAGATGAACAACTGTATAGTATAAGCCATAGCATCTCCACTCATCAGAGCTCTGTAACTGAGTCCAATCAAGTGTTTTTAAATGTCTCTATATCTTCTGCACTTTGTGCTCAAAGATCTATGATCTAAATGGGAATCAAGGGAAACCTGAGTGTGGGACATGTTACCCAACTTCAGCCCTGTACATGTTGCAGGAAAACACTTGCACATGGCTCTACTTATAGAGATGTGTGGGATATAGACAATAAGTCAGAGGAAAAATACAGAATAGTAAAAGTATGATTTTTAAACTTCTGAAAAAAATGTGAATTATATACCTAGAGCTATGTCATGGAAGAAATATGAGGCAGGAGTGGGAGTATGGGCCCCACAATGTAATTACTTTAATTTCTCAAATTTCTAACATTGCAATAACTTAAAAACCAGTTAAACACTTATCAAAGGACCATGAATGTACATATGTGACCAAATAGAAGAATTCTTTTTATATGTGAATAATTTTCAGCAGCCCACTCTTTAAAATGCTAGAAATGGGGAGGCTGAAGATAAATTTAATGAAGGAGTAGAATTCTTATTTGTGTGGACAAAAAGATTAATTGGTGGATGGGCATCATTTCAGACCATTTATCTACAGGAAGAAGAATAATTTTATTTTTTTTTAATAGTTGTGCCTCACTATTAACAGTGGAATACCATAGCTTTTCTCTAAAAATGTTTTTCTTTGATTACTACCAGAGAATGGTGGCAGCAATAGTTGTAGTGGTAGCCTAGTCATCATTTTGCATATTCAAGACTGTCTTGGACATAGCATTAGTCTGAAGCAAAGTATTGGAAGAAACTCGAATAAGATTCTAAAAAAGGGGTCTCCTTTTTAAAAGAGATGTCAGAAGAAGGAAGCTCTGAAGGAAATTGTCCACTAAAGAAACAAATGCCCTCCCTCTATTGTGTGTACACCTGGTTTTTATTGTGTTCTTTCTATTTTCTGTCTCTTTTGCAAAGACACCACTTGGACAATTATTCAGCACAACAACACTGAGTTAAGCAGAGTCAAAAATGCTAATCGAGAGAACCCCCACACTGTGTTTTTTAAATATCCGGCCATGCTGGAACAGCTTCAGGCTACAATTAACCATGCAGAACACTGTGAGCAAGAGCTTGCTTACTACTGCAAAAAGTCTCGGCTTTCAAATAAGCAAGGTAAGTAATGCTGACATTATGCCCCATAACGTGTTATATTCAACAAAGCACGGTATATGTTTAATTCTTCCAAGGTTATGGCATCTTGCCATTACCATTTGTTTTTGTTTGTCTTAAAAACTGTTTAAAGATTTAGAAAAGCAAATCCCTATCCTGTAAATTGCTGAATAGCTTTTGAACCAGAAAAAAGCATCAAGGTCGATTTATAATGAGCTTCATTTGAAGCATTAAATATGTTGAAACTAAATTCCTTGCCTAATCCTAGCATTTAGCAAAAAATATAACAATAGTGCTTCCTGGTCTGCATGTGAAAGCCTTCAGTAATTGACCAGGAATTTAGTAAATGTGAATGTTGTTAAAAAGAAATAATTGAATAAATCATCCTGTTTTTATGACTGAAAACATCTTGCTTTTGTTTTAATCTGTATCGGTTGAAGACACGTTGAAAATATTGGGAGCAAATAGTATTGTAATATATTTTGAACATAAATAATTGAGATTACAGTGTTGTAGTAGTAAATCTATTAATTGTTTTTCTCTAAGGGCATCTTACAAGGCTAAAACAATTGAAAACTAAGAACTCAATGGTCAAAAAATTAAACAAAATTAAACAAACTGACATATTAAAAGTGATATTAAATTCAAAGAATGTTAAAATCATTTAATCATTTAAAATACAACATACATACCCCTACACAAACACACACACACAATAGTCAAAGGAGAATGTAGAGGTAGCCAAGTTAGATTTGCATTGAAGTAAATCCAACAGAAAGGGAGATCCACTAAAAACTCTCTCTCCCATCTGTTCACCAGAGAGACCTGTCATGACAGTGGGATGAAAAGAAAGCCTTCTCCATGAAAATACTAGGATTTAGGTAGTCTCATGTACCGAGATAGTTTTTCAGATAGTCTGTAGCTAAATTGTTATGGATTTTATAGGCCATAATCAACACTTAAAATTATGTCTGAAAATAAACTGGTAGCAAAGAAAGCTTTTCTTGCAATGAATTTTCTCACCATGTAGCTAGCATCAGTCAACACTCTGGCAATGGCATTTTACTGCTGCTGAAATTTCTGAAAGTTTCTGAAGCTAGCCCTGGTCTGTGTTACAATAATCTAGGTGAAATGTAACCAAGATATGTGTCACCATAGCCAGATCTTACTTCATCAAAAGTTGCAGTATTCTGGCTACTGTGGAAGCTGTTGAATCCTGTCTTTAAGAAAAAATATTGGCACAGTAAGTAAATATGAAAGATACCAAATTGAAACATACAAAAATAAATCATTGTAGAAATGTTGTAGGATGGCATGGTTTGTAGTATCATTGGAGAATCCTAGTTATTGGTGGCTTTAATTTTAGTAGGGTGGTAAATCCACTCTGTGTTAAATTCCAGATTTTAAATGAAGTGCTGAAGGTTTTTGTGGGGAGAAGCCAGAAACGTGAATAAACACACACACACATATATAATTTAGACTAAAACTGAAAGCAAATTCAGTATTCCACTCAAAAATAGAAATGATCAGTTGTCTCTGATAGTGAATATTCATAGGCCTAACAGGGAATTCTAACAAATGCTTCTTAATAAGTAAGTATATCAATAAATACACAAATAGGCAGGAATCGTTCACTGGATTTATAGGTGTGTAAGCATTGCAGTTAGAGTGCTACCTAGTGAATCCCAGCATGAGTCCATAACCCACACATTATTGAGTAGCTACTTTTCTTGACTGCATTGCTTGATAGGTATCTGTTTGCTTATTGCTTGGGAAGCAGCTGCCTGATAGTCCTCCTCTCTCCCACAAATGATTTGTAGTTCAACAGATGAGAATTGGGATCCCTGTCTCAATTCCTCTTCATGCCAAAGATTTCTCATGTGATGGAGGTGGATGGCCAACTGTTAGCTAAGTACTTCCCAAGCAACCATGGAAGTTCTCTAGTGCTCTCTCTGCTAACCAAAACTTGCCAACAGCTGTGGAAAAAAGTGTTTTGAAATAGTATTACTAAAACTTACCACTTCTCTTGTGATAAATACTTTCCATGGAGTGCATATGACAAATTCAGCATTCGATTATTGGAAGAAAAAATATAGGCCAAATTATTTTGTTTAACTAGAAATAAGGTTTCATTGCACTTCATATTCATTCTTATATAAAAGATTATAAAGGAACCTTTGGAAAACATATTGAGCATTTTTTTTCTCTATATTCAACATGTGCATTCTTTCCAGAATAGAAGCCAAATCAAATGAATCATTTCACTTTCATCTGATTATTAGCATTCATAGCCAAGCCAGAACCTGGACTAATCACTGCTTAGCTATAATCCTTTAATAGCATTACCAAATTCACATCAGTACACAAACAACTGCTTCAGCTTCCCTTTTCCAGATAATTTGGTCTATTCAACTAAAAAAAATTATGATGAGTTATTATCCTATATCATTCAAGGTTTTAAACTTTTTTCTATATTCTTGAAACAGGGAACATGACCTCTTTGTGCAAGTTCCTAAATTCCATTTGATCTGGCTGTCATTATCAGTTATTGTGTTTTATTTAAATCCCAGTGAAGTTGACTCTGAGGAAGAAGGTAAAGATGAACTAGAGGTATTCATATTGCTGACAAGGAGCTCTGACAGTTTGGGCATCAGTGTGACCATCAGCAAATAATAAGATTTTATAAGCATGCTATGGAAGAAGGTTTCTATTTTTTCGCTATGGGGATTACAGAGGAAATGTTACTTTGGCATTTTTGAACATCTTACATTGTTTGTGTATTAAAACAACATTAAATTTGATGGACTACAGCTTGTTCATGGTAGGTCTATACTGTCACAGAATTTGGATCCCCAGGGAAGCTGCAGAGGAGGTCTAAGGGAGGCCCTCCTAGGGGGGCATACTAAGTTACTCCCACCTCTCAATCTCTTGTGCCTGATATTATTTCCCAGGTTGCTCTGCTGTCTAGCTTACCCATACAGAGAGAGGTCAACCCTCCTGTTTAAGGAGCTCCATTGGCTGCCGTTTACCTACCGAGCCCAATTCAAGGTGCAGGTGCTTACCTACAAAGCCCTAAACTGTTTGGGACCTGCCTACCTGCGTGACCGCATCTCCATATATGAACCCACACGTTCCCTCCGTTCATCCGGAGAGGCCCTGCTCACGATTCCACCTGCGTCACAGGCACGTTTGGTGGGGACGAGGGATAGGGCCTTCTCTGTGGTTGCCCCCCGACTTTGGAACACCCTCCTCAAAGACATTAGACTAGCACCTACATTGGCAGTCTTTAGGAAGAACTTGAAGACCTGGCTATTCCGATGTACCTTTCCTGAATAGGATAACCTCCAGCACTACATCCCAGAAGCACTTTATTAGAGCTTAAGACTCTCTGTACATTGCACTTGTGCCCAGAATCCCAACATATCACCTCTTACACCCAGCACTTTTAACCTGTACCCTTCATTGGCCCGGCCCTGGTTTTATTGCGTAATAGTGTTATGTTTTGTTATTGTTATTGCTTATGTTTTTAATTTGCTTGCATTGTATTGTTATTGTTCATTGTTGTTGTTGAGGCCTTGGCCTTTGTAAGCCACATCGAGAGATGCTAGCGGGGTACAAATAAAGTTTAATAATAATAATAATAATAATAATAATAATAATAATAGCTTGCTGGTCCAGAATTTCTGATAAAAACTACCCTGGCTTGCTTTCTTTCCTCCAGAGGACAGTTTTCAGCCTTGATCTATGAATAGAAAATTGGATTACATTTGGAGACTTGGCTTTTCCCTCCCCTAGGATCATTTTCTTGTGAGGAAGATTCACTAGTAGTTTGAGATTTGTAGACATCCAAAAGCAATTCCTTGTTTTGCCAACTCTTCATTCCCCCAATATTCAAACAAGCTTGTCCTCATCCACTTTCTTCACAATATCTGTGATTTACTTATTCAGATCTAGAAATGTTGTGTGGTTTCTGGGCTGTATGGCCATGTTAGAGCAGCTTTTTTTTCTTGACTTTTCACCTCCATCTGTGACTGGCATCATCTGAGGAAAGCTGATGGTCTGGGATCAAATTTGTATATGCCTATATCGGAGTCTGAGGTGTGTACATTATATAGCATAGCTTGTACAATTTAGATATGCAAAAGCAAGAATAATGTCAGGGTTCTGTTTATGTGTTAGATGGGCTCAGATAAAAATCTTTCTTATAGCACATGCTTAATTTCAAAGAGATATACGATGTAAAGCCACAGCAGGGTGCATTAAGTATTCCATTCCTCATTCACTCTTTAAAGCTTTCTCTGAAGTTATGAAGTAAATGGGGATAGATCACCATTCACAACAATGGCTGTGCATGTACTCCTGAGCCACTATATTCTCTGCTTCTGCATACTAATGTATACAAATGTCACATTCAAAAATAAAAGGGTATGGAAATTGTAGAGCTTTACTTCAGGTTTCCATATCTCCCATCGAGGGGTAACTTTTCAAAGCCAAAAACATGAAAAGAGGTTTGTGCCATTGTGCATCTTCTGGTTAATTTATTTTTCCTGGAATTATGGTTCTATCTCTTGCAGGCCTGCTATGCTGACAGTTGCATTGTATGTGCATGAGTTAATATTTTTTGCAAACTGAGAGACTGTAAAAGAAGCAGAGAGCTTGTCTAACAGCGAGTGGCAATAAGTGCTGACAGTTGTTACTGAGGGGGAAAAAGAGGAACATATTCGCATTTTGTAGTGGGAGGTTATGTGGAAAGCTTGAATGCACATAGGCAACAAAAGTAGAATCCACCTGTGTGTTGCAATGCAGTTTAATAGATCCTTATTTTTCTCCTGTGGCTTCACTTTTGCGTTCATTGCAAAGTTCACCTTCCTTCATTCTCCTCCTTTAAGATAGATTATCTTCATGCTTCAAATCCTTCAGTAATTACCATTTTCTGTCTGTTTCGTGCATTTATTGCTCTGTTTAATTGGAAGTATTTTTAGTTTAACATACAGTACAGTAGAATTAAGATCTAACTATAGCTCTCATTTTCACTGTGAACTGGACTGAGGGCAAAATTGGTCAAAGTTTCTTTCTTATCACATTAGGCCAATTATGGAAAAACAGTTATTAAAGAGGCTCCACCTTTGCAACTGTAATTTGCTACAAGATCTTATAGTTCACATTAGCAGTTCTCCCAACAGAAGTCTGATCCAAATGCTCAGTATTTGCTTAAATATTATACCTATTACTATTAATAATAAGCTATGAATATTACTTTTATTATGGAGACTCATCTTTCCCAGATAAGGCTTAATTATCTAATTTTCTCACTAAGCGGATTCTTGATCTTCTATTGATCTTAGCTTCATGAAATAAATTAGATATTTGGGCAAGGGCATCTCTTTTTTCACAAACTACCATAAAGGAAATTGCATAAATGCTTTCCTTAAGATAAATGATTCTAATATCATGCCTGGTTGATTTAGGGACTATCGGTTCTCTTCTTCCAGTGATGTATGCACAAAACCTTGACAGTAAGCTAGTTCATGATAATGAAACATTAAAATGAAACATCTATTATATAAAAGTAATAAAATTTTCAAACTTTTTGAGGTTTTTTTGTGTGAATTTTCTTGAGATGAAGCAACACAGCAAAAGTGGAATTGGAACCATTATATAAAGCACCTGTGTTTTCTAATTTGTCTTTTAGATGGAATTCCATTCAGCTGGTGGATTGGAAAAGTCAATGAGACCCAGACTTACTGGGGAGGTTCCAAGCCAGATGTTCAGAAATGTGCTTGTGGAATACAAGGCAGCTGCATTGATTCCCAACATGACTGTAACTGTGATGCTGACAGAAATGAATGGTAATTACTCTCACAAGCACAATAAGTTTTAAAATGTGAATTTCTCTTTCTTCTGAGAAATGTAACCTACCAGAGCATTTGTTTTTTTTTTCTGAAATGATTTTTTGTAGATTCAAAATTGCCTTCAAACAGCCAACATTCCACAGAAGGTACTTTTTCTGAAAAAGAGGCATTGTGTTTTATCAAAGCTCCCACAAGAAAAGATAAATATTCTCCAAAAATTGTCTGCAATACTTTGCAATTGTTCATCCTGTCTTGTCCCCACACCCGAAATTATTCTAGCTGCTGGAAACTTTGGCAAAAGCAAAATTATTGTAGGTGTTCTAATTTTACAAGACATTTAGTCTTCTCTGCCAAACTACAACTCCCATGATTCCGTAGCATTGAGCCACGGCAATTAAATATATGGCGTTAAACTCCATTAATTCTACAATGTAGATGTGCACTCCATTGCCAGCATTGCTAGTACTACTACACTACTGCCAAGGCACTGCAGTTGGGAGGCTATCATATTCGGACAATGAGGGATCGCCTAAGATGAGTACTACTGCAAATTAAAAGAGCCCCATGCTCCTCCCCCCCCCCCCCAAATAAACCTTAGCCTTCCATGGCTAAGTCTAACTAAAACCTTTGGAGGATTATGTAGGATGTTCCAAAAATCCTGGATGGCAGTGGGGTTTTTTTTCCCATTTACAGACCTGGCATTCAACAGCATCATTTTTAACCTAGGGGGACTGTCACCCTGGATGAAGAACTTCATAAGGCTATTCAGAGCAACTTCTTAAAAATAGATTTTTATATTCTTGAAATTTAATTGCTAATGAACAAGGAACATTGTGTGCAGTACTATGTTGCACTCTCTAAACACAAGTGTGAGAGAAAGCAGACACAGCAACCTAGGACCTCATCACATGGGGCTTGTGCTCTGTCCTAGGATGCTGCCAGGACAGAGCCATTACAGAGTCCACCAGAGCCCATTACTAGACTCAAGGTTACTTCCGCCAGGGCTCCATCCTGGCAGCATAATAGAATGGAATCTGAGAACAAGGGTGGGGACTAACAGTGTTCTCATTAGCTAAGCTGAGGACAGCTCGGGAAGAAGCTGGGCAGCAACAGTTTCCCCTGTGTGATGGGGAAGAGGGCACATGCAGGTGATATAGGGCTCTTAAGGATGGTTGCCTCCACTGTCTGACAGATTTGTCCACTGCCCAGAGGATTCCCCCACTATCCTCTGACTTAAACTAAATCCAGACAAGACAGAGGTACTCATGGTCAGTCGAAAGGCCGAACAGGGCATAGGGTTACAGCCTGTGCTCGACGGGGTTACACTCCCCCTGAAGGTGCAGGTTCGCAGCTTGGGAGTGATCCTGGACTCATCGCTGAGCCTGGAACCCCAGGTCTCGGCGGTGGTCAGGGGAGCTTTTGCACAATTAAAACTTGTGCGCCAGCTGCACCCGTACCTTGGGAAGTCTGACTTGGCCACAGTGGTCCACACTCTGGTTACATCCTGTATAGACTACTGCAAAGCTCTCTATGTGAGGTTACCTCCAAAGACTGCCCGGAAGCTGCAATTAGTCCAACGAGCGGCAGCCAGATTACTAACAGGAGTGGGGTACAGGGAGCATACTACTCCTCTGTTGCGCCAGCTCCACTGGCTGCCAATTAGCTTCTGAGCACAATTCAAAGTGCTGGTGTTGACCTATAAATCCCTAAATGACTCCGGCCCAGTTTACCTGTCCAAACAGATTCTCCCCTATGAACCATCAAGGTTGTTAAGATCTTCTGGAGGGGCCCTGCTCTCGGTCCCACCATCTTCGCAATCGCGTCTGGTGGGGACGAGGGACAGGGCCTTCTCGGTGGTGGCCCCTCGGCTCTGGAACTCTCTCCCATTGGAGATTAGAACTGCCCCTTCCCTCCTGACCTTTAGAAAGTTGGTGAAAACCTGGCTTTGGAATCTGGCATTTGATGAGTGCAACGACTTTTGACCACACAGACAGATGGGGATGAATAGTGATTTTTGCTAACGACTTGGCTTTATATAATTATATGATAGTACTTTAATGTGTTTATATTAGTGCATTATTGATGTGATGTTTTTAAACTATGTGTATGAACTCCCTTGTTGTAAACCGGCCTGAATCCCTCGTTGGAGGTGAGAAGATCAGTATATAAAAGTTCTAAATAAATAAAACAAATTAAAGACCTCAATGTGATGAATCCCTAGTCTTGGGTGTGCAGCTTCTAAAATCTGTCCTAGCTATTTGGGGAACAGTGCCAATGCTCATTTTCATATCATCATCACAAAATTTCTTCATGGCAGGATAAATCTGGGTCTTTATTTACTCCTGTCCTTCTCTGAGTCATGGATTAGAGCATTCAAATGGCTCATTTAGTAGACTGGTCATCAGAATTGTGTGAGGACTCTACAGCACCTAAGTGGAGTGACAATCAGCCAATATTTCCACTTGTCATACTCCCTTGGCTGAAAACACATTCAACTGAGTCCTTTCCATGAATAACAAGGAATTGAGCTTCTATTTATAATTAATACTGAAAAGGCAGTGCATGAAAATTGTTAGGCATAACAAAAGAAAGCAAATGAGGAAGAAAGCATTCTCTTCCTCTCAACTTAGATGGCCATCTGACATTTAATGAAATAAAATACTTTGCAAATATAAGATTCTTCAATCCTGATAATAATTGAGAGAAATCTTAACATTAGGTATCACTAGATGTAAAACATGAGAAAGTTAGGGCTGCACTTTGTTTCAGTAATTATAATGGCTTTTTGACCTTGATTAAATGATGTTCTTGAAGTGGAACGGTGAAAGGGCTCAAGCTGATTGTCAAAACACATGCTTTGAATGTTAAAGATCCCAGGTTCACTCCCTGGTGTCTCTTGGTGGAGCTAGAAAAGACTCCTACTTGCAACCATAGAAAATCAATCCTTACCAGTGTTTTAACAGCTCTAGGTTAGATGGAGTCTCATGTGAATTAAAATGCCCTATAGAAACTTGTTACTCAATTGCAAGTTCTTCTTTGTACAAAGGACTCAAACATGCATCTGGACACACACCTATGCAATGGAATCATAAAGGCAAAGTACTTTACATCGGTTATAGAAAGTGGATGAATTTTTTTGGTTTTCCAGATGGAGCCCCAAGTTTAAAAGGTGTAACCACACAAAGAATCCTTAAATGGTAATAGAACCAAGGTGTGTTACTTATTATTTGAAGCATATGAGAATTATTATATGCTTACTTTTTAATTAACCTGGATAGAATTGCTTGTGTATCCCAATTAAAGATATGGAATTTTTTTATACTTATTTCTAAATAAAATGCCTAATTTGTTCTGAGACCTCAATGAATTTCCCAAATAAGAAAGATGCTAGTTCTAAAACTAGTCCATTCTACATCATTTTTGGAAAATAATATTTATTGTACACTGTTGAGAAGTGTAGACCAAAGCCTACATTATAAATGCATTGCAGCAAGGAACTCTTATGTCTTGACTGTTCTGTCTCACTATGTCTTTGATGTATAGAATTATCGTGAAGGCCATAATATTCTTTCACATAGTAATTGTACAAAGTCATGGCTTATTTGTAGCACTATCTTAAATGTTGTGTCTTTACCTTTTTTAGGACCAATGATACAGGTGTCCTCACTTATAAAGAACACTTGCCTGTAACAAAGATTTTCATCACAGACACAGATCGACCAAATTCTGAAGCTGCTTACAAACTTGGGCCTTTACTTTGCCAGGGTGATCGTAAGTAATTATATTTCAATCATTTATGACAACTTACCTTTTGGCCTCTGAAGATGTAATTCTTACAGGATTTTCAGGGGCTTCATTTGAACTGGAATTTGTTCATCTTCATCACCTGACATCCAATTTGATCTCAGCATTCAGACATTTTTAGCTATGATCCCCAAAATACTTTTTTCATAGCTTTTCCATAGTATGAATGTAAAATGTAAATTGAATATAAATATTTTAAAATGGTATCAGATTTCATAGCAGAAAAATTGCATAGACATTTATGCAGGAAAGTTTATGAATCACATTTTAAGTCATGTTTCAGAGAAAGTACTGAAATTGATTAAGAAGACTGAAAGGTCATCTGAAGTCCTTTCCTCGCAGAGACAGTGGATGTGACCTCACTAGTATAATTCCTGGCTTTTCTGCCTCAGGAGAAAGGGATGGGAGGAAAACCGTATTTATATGGACCATAGACAGTGCACTGTGATACTGTTATTAATGGTACAATTGATAGCTGTAGTTATTTCAATCGCAGAGGGGATCATAATGTGACTATTTGCACACTAAAATATGGAGACCTGCCAAGGGGGAGAGAAGAGAGGGGAACCCCAAATTTAATATAATTAAATAGGTATTTAAGTTTAGTCTTTTCAAGAAAAATCCCTGGAAGGAGTTAAGAAGAGTCTGAAGTCTCATCTGAAGTCCTCTCCATCCCTGGAGCCCCATATGCCTACATGTATACAGATAGAAGGAGGAGCGATCCTGTGTCTCCTTGTACTCTTCTGATGTTTGTTTTGTCCTTCTGAAATGTTTGCAAATAAGTCTTCAGAGAACATTTCACAGTAACAAAGAAAATGAACCCATTTTCATATTGCATTATAACAAATAATATTTTTTTAAAAAAGATCAGTGGAAGAATGGAATCACCAATTCACTTCCTATTACTTAGATAACCATAGTACAGGGCTACCTGTCCAGAAAACAGTCAAAGAGCATATAGTTAATGCAGATGCCAGTAAGTGTCATTGGCTCTGTGTTTTTTTTTATTAGACCACTTACGTTGGTGCTGGAATAATTCACAAGCTATCTTCCAGTCTTGAGAAATTCTTATTTTTTGTTCAGTCTACAATACTTTTATTGTTAATATCAGTTTTTAAAATGCCAGTGATTTTACTTTAGTTTTAGGAATTTTAAAATACCAAAGTAACTATCGAAGATAAGCCAAATTTTAGGTAGGTACCAAATTATTTGCAAATTTAATAATAATAATCATCATCATCACGATTGTGGAAAATAAAAATCAAAATGCAAAGGCTTTGGCATAAACCAGTGCAGGTGGCCCCAGTGGTAATCTGCACACTGGGTGCAGTGCCAAAAGATCTCAGCCAGCATTTGGAAACAATAAACATTGAAAAAATCACTATCTGTCAACTGCAAAAAGGCCACCTTACTTGGATCTGCATGCATTATTCAAAAATACATCACACAGTCCTAGACGCTTGGGAAGTGTTCAACTTGTGAGTTTGTGGTATGAAATCCAGCATATATATCTCGTTTGCTGTGACATACTGTGTTTTTGTCGGAACTCAGATGCCTAAAAGAGCCAGACACAAAGATGTAATCAAAACAACAGTTTATTAAGTCAAAGTAAACAAGACTCAGAGACACTTACTTCAGTGCCTCTGGTCAAAACTCAAAGTTTGCAGCAATTTGCAGTTTGAAAAACGAACTTAGAAAATAAACCGGATTAAACTGGCAAAAAGTCCGGATTAAACAAGAGTTCTTAGCAAAATGCACCAAAAACACACAGTTCAAAGATAAAGCCCAAACAAGAGCCGTGAAGAGAAGCCATCATCCAAAAGCAGTCCAAAGTCGAAGAAGTCCCAGTTGAAGATACCAGAGTCCAGGAGGCAGCGTCATCATCAGAAATAGTCCGAGGTCAAGGAGAGGGGAAATCTGCACTTACGAGAATCCAAGCCGGTCAGTACACGAAGAACACAGCAACCTGCAGTTCCAGGACCCAAGCCCAACAAGAGAAGTGGCAGCGACAGGACCCAAGGCACGAAACCAACACTTTGCCTACTGCAAAGTTCTATCACTCCAGTGCCTTCATTTATCCTACAACTCATCATCCGTTGATGAGTTGCCCTCCACCCCATCCTCATCGCTGTCAGCTGGCTTAGCTTCTACAGCTGAACGCCAACGCCCATCCCTCCAACTCTTCCACCTTTTGTCAAGACTTAGATCACCCCACGATTCCATGGTATCAGCTTGCCAATCCCCTCCAGAAAATCCCTCAAAAGTGTCACTGGACATGGGCTGCGTATACACATTCCTGATCTCCTGAACTTGTGTCCAGTCCAGTGGTTCCTCTTCATCCTCACTACTCCCAGATCCATTACTTCCAGTAAAGCCCATGAAATCCTCTTCCTCAGTGAGAGCAGTAAGTATGTCCTAGGATCCTCTTTCTTTGACGCTCCTCGTCTGACTCTTGCTCCTGAGTAGTCCTCTTAAAACCTCTATTCCCATCTCCTTCCTCCTCCTCACTCGTTTCACTGCCAGAGAAACCTTCAAAGGATTCCTCGTCTGTGGGTGACGTAAGTATCTCCCGGATTCTCTTCCTTTGCTGCTCTTCATCTAACACCTAGGCACCTCGTTTCCCTCCTCTACTACTCCTACTATCAGTTGTAACGCTGCCAGCAGACTCTACTACAACAGTTTTTGTGTCAGTAAAATAATAATATTTTTTTAGAAAACTGTTTTTATCCACATGTAGCATTTTATTCAAAATTAAATTAAAAATTAAATATAAAGATTAAATCAATAATGAAATTATAAGTATGTGCTCCTTTGGCACTTCCACAAATCTGAATATGAGGCACTCATCAATGTGGTTTCCCCATCTGGGGTAGATAAATGAATAATATCCCCTGTGCATTGTTGGAAAATTGAACAGGCACTATGTGATCTTTCTGTTATAAAAGACACCTGTGCTTGAAATTAGTTTAGCTCTCCTGATCCTTGCCCCTGAAATTCAACAATATTATATTACATGTCAGATTTCATATTTGCTTCATTTTAAGTCTTTGGCTAGAAAATCTACCAATATTAACTTGCTAATTGATCTGCAATATAAGGAGTGAAAATTGTCTTTCACTCTAGAAACTGCTATACGGTAATATTGATTCACTGCCATCACCATTTTTATCCCTTCTTGAGTCTTACACATTCAAAGTTTATGATTAATCACAGTGTTTTAGAAGCTTTCTTGCAACTAAGAAACAAAAATGTGTTGTGTTTCTAACACTGGAGTGTCATAATGACATTTTACAAAGAGAAGGTTGCATTGAAAGACTTGTATAATGGATTGGACAGCATTCAAAAACAATCATCTTCTTGCTTATGTTTTCTTTTGTATTCATTTTTGTTTGCATTTTATTTCTCAATTGTCAAAAAGGAGTTAATTAATGTTCTTTTTACTGAGCCTTTGAAATAATGAATTCAAATGTTTTGTTGCATATAAATGGCAAATTACTTCTTATTTGGGTAGAAGTGGATGTGGTGCTATTTATAATAAATGGGACTTCTTTTTTTGGATTGCTTTTTTCTGTTTATGGGAAATAAGTCTAACCTTTGCCAACATTTCATCATAAACAATGGTACTAAGCTTACAGATAAGGCTTCGGTACGATCTTCTCATTTATTTTATATGTGGGCCATCAAGAAATAGTAAGACAAGTCTTAAATTCTATAGATTCAGTAGGTATGTTTTTTAATTTATTTTTTTTACTAGCATTGTACCCAGCGATGCCTCCTTCAACCCCTCTAGAATGTTCTGTTTGTCATGGGGGGAGTGGTCTGTGTGCAAGTTTGGTTCACATCTGTCATTCATGGGGTTCGCAGTGGTCTGTGGAAGTTGGTGGCCCAGCTAGAAAAATACCTTGCCGTACTGCCCACTACATACATACATACAGTTTATTATTATACACTATATATATATATATAGAGAGAGAGAGAGAGAGAGAGAGGAGGCATGGTTGATCAAAAATGGTTTTAATCTCTATTCAAAAGTAGGGGGTGCTGGCGATTTGACTAAAATTACTTCCATTTTTTTTCTGAAAAATATACAAAACTTTCCAAAACTTCCAAAATTTCCAAAATTGATTCGTTAATGGTGGATGGGAGGAAACAATACCAGGGAAACTTCAGAGGCTTCTCTCTCCCTTCATACAGAAGGGAGGCAGTTGAACCCCAAAAAATAACTTTGGTACCTTTCTCCTGTCTTAGAGAAGGCACCTGGGGGTTGAGGTTCAAGAAGGAGTTTTTGGAGAGGATAGATAAAAGTGACCAAAAAATCCAGCACTGAAAGGCTTTCTCTCAAGTTTCACACAATGACTTTATTAATTTCTCTCTCTCCCTCCCAAACTTTTCATTCTTTCTTCTCTCTTTCTCTTTTCTTCTCTCTCCCTCCCTCTCCAAAAATCTTTTCTCAATTCTCCAAATCTCCTTTGGCTCCAATACCTTTGTCTGCCTACCCATCCACCCACCCAGCAGCAGCAAAACAGATCCCAACCACCCTCCTCCCATCCCTGGTTGGAATGAGCCTTCCAGCCATGTGCTTCAGTTTATAAGCAGTAATGGCTGCCAGACACTGGATAACCCATCCTCTTTAAAAAAAACCATAAGCCCCAATTGGCTGTGAGGCAAGCACTTTAGGCTGCACCTCCCAGCAATCTTAATTTCATTAAAAAGGCTTTCCTCATACTTCTGAATCAACTTCTGAACCGTTGAAATCAATGACCCAGGTTGATTTGGAAAAAGAGGGGACTTCTGGCTTGCTAATGCACGTTCGAACCCATTTCAGACTTTACTTCCAACATTCACAACTTCCGAACAAATTCGCCCATGCCTAATATATAGATAGATGTATAGAAGATATATAGACATCTTTCTTTGAAAACATACACCAAACTCCATCAAGTATTGGTGAGATGCAAATGATATAC